TTTTCTTGCAAAATCTGTTGGAATGTATTTGTGTAATAATGTTAATCTTTCGGATAAGAGACTGACTTTTCTTGCATCTAATTTGCAAAAATAATTATTTCCCTGTATCATTTGAAAAAGCATTCTTCTCATAACTCCTAAATAGAGTAGATGCATTGGATCCAGTATAAATTTAGTAACCATAGAAAAATTAATTTCCGCTAAAGGAGAAATACCATTATGGTGTTCTATCTGTGTTTGTAGCAAGAAATTCTGATCTGTTCTTTTTTCAGCATCAATTTTATTAAATAATGTTGCACCAAATGGATGTGATCCTTTTTGAATACACCTTTCGCAACCATAGAAACCATTATGTCCTTTAATTACTTTAAGATACGCTCTAGCAGGTGCATCACAAATAAAGCCTGAAATCGTAACTGAATATTGTTTTTCATCGATAATTATACCAACATCACAAAGATTCTCATATTCTTGTATAAAATCTTTTAAATATTCGTGTACATCTGGAGGTTTAGATTGCCCACAATATACACCAACGATAAAAGGATCAAGTTTATTATACACTGATTGATCTATCTTGCAAAGTATTGGCCAAAATTGAATTGATGAAGAATTAGCTAATGGCAATCCATCAATATTCACAAATAAATTTATTTCTTTTAGTGATTTTAATAAGGGTTCTTTTAAAAACAAATTTTTTAAATTATTGGCAATGCCAAAATAACAATATTTTCCATCAAACATATCAAAAACGGAACTACTTCTTGGTGTCTTTAATAAAGTTCTAGCATCTGAAAATGCAATAAGATTATGTTTTTGTAATGTACGTAAAAGGGAATTTAAAGCTGAGTGAGAGATTTTGTATTCAAGAGCCCACTGGGCAAGATTACTTGTTAGATCAGATTTAATACTTTCTATAGAATTTATTAACACATTAAAATTATTGTGAATAGAAAATTCTGTAATATTATTGTCATTAGAATTTTCTTCATCAAAATCTTCAAATAAATGATATTCGATAGAAGAACATACGCTGTCAGTTTCATTATTAATATTACAATTAGAATTTATATTTTTATCTTCATTTGTTAACGAATCATAAGAAAATTCATAATTATTAAATTGCTGACAATACTCAGATAAGTCAGAATTAACAGATTCTTTAGAATATTCTGAATTGCTCAATACTTCAATACTATTTGTTTCAATATCCTCTTTTTCAATTGTCGCAAGATGCTTTTTAACTCGTTCATTTATTGTTTTCCATTTAGTACGTCTCTTTGAAGACATTGCAATTAAATTCTATGTATGCGTGGTTAAAAAATATATTTATATTTTATATATGTATATGATTTCATTAAATCTATATGTCTAAAAATATGAATTTATTTTTATATATACTTTTTATATATCTATATATAATCTCTGTATGTATGCAATGGAATGGATATAAAAATAAATACAAAAATATTTTTAGAGGATAGGATTGAAATAGATATCAAGGAAAACAGCACATTAATCTGCAAAATATGATTTGAAAAATGAGCTATTGAGTGTATAGTGCAAGAGGGAGAAAATAATAAATCCTATAACAAGAAGTAAAAAAGATTAAAAAAGATTTTTACCTTGGCTGTAAGATAACTTCTTTTCTACTTTCTCGTACGCAAATGTGAAAATTTGATGTTAAAACTCAAAGTAGCCTTTTTCGTAATTATCTTTTGCTTCGTCGTATGCGAACGAACAACTGCTGAGATTTTGCTGGAAAATAAAGACCTTGTAAAATAATAGTTATAAACAATTTTACAATCTAAAGAAATTCTTTAAAAATAGTTACATGTAGCTATTTTAATAAAAAAACTAACCTTTCGTTCTTCGTGCACGTGTTCCTTTTCTTTTTTTTATTCTTATAAAAAATATTCAAGACTGCATGTTCATATACTAATTGAACAAATAAATGCTTTGCTAGCATACAAATTTTAATTCGAACGAAAAATGTAACGATAATAACGTGCACAAATACGTTTACTTCTGTTTAAGGCAGCAGTGAACATACCACGCACTGGTATCAGGTTAAGTAACTTATGGCGGCATGAAGCACATGGCACAAAGCAACAATTTTATAATCTAAAGAAGTTGTACATACATTTATATTTATATTAAGATATGAATAAAGTACAAAAGAAATTCTTTAAAAATAGTTAGATGTAGCTATTTTAATAAAAAAATACTAACCTTTGTCGTTCTTCATGCACGTGTTCTTTTTCTTCTTTTTATTCTTGTAAAGAATATTCAAGAATGTTCATACACTAGTTGAACAAATAAATGCTTTGCCAGCATACAAATTTTAATCCAAACAAAAAATGTAACGATAATAATGTGCACAATACGTCTACTTTTGTTTAAGAACAGCGATGAATACACCACGTTGCACTGGTATCAGGTTAAGCAACTTATGGCGGCACGAAGCACGAGGTGTTTTCAACTTTGGGCCGCGCCGGCACTCAAGAATACGTGTGATCGCGTACATGTGCTGCGCAGAACGTTTTGCGCAGCACATGTACGCGATCACACGTATGTGTGAGTGCCGGCAGCGGCCTAAAGTTGGAAACACAGCCGGCACGAGGCACGAATCTCTCTCTTTTCTTTCTCTCTCTCTCTCTCTCTCTCTCTCTCTCTTTCTTTCTAGCGCCCTCACTCGCTCTGCAAAACCGTCTAGTATTACTCGAACATGGTCTCTTACTTTTATGTCCGATTCATATTAACAAGCCGAATCTCGAATCGAATAGCGAATCTTTTGATGTTTTGCCGAAATTCGAAACATTTCGATGTCTAACAAATCAAATCGAGCGTTGACAATGACTTGGCCATTGACTGCTGACGGGCCATGTATAATGTACAACTTGTTTAAGCGTGTAATTTGTAATTTGCATACGTAGATAAAAAACCTTTAAATTTACTGCCAAAATCATTACACGTCAGATCGATTTACTGATTTTATAAAAAGCATAGATTTTCCAAAAATTATATGATCTATTTAAAAGAAAAAATATCACACAGTATATTATATAAAAAATTATAAGATAAAAAAAATTTAAATATAATAAACATATAATATTAAAATTTACTAATGAATTTAACATGTTTCATGAACATTTACTTATAATAATCTAATAATATTAATATACCTCGCAAGATATATATACATATCACATGAGTACTGCAATATTGATAGCATATTTGGACTTACTCATATTATAGTATTATCATATAAATACTGCAATGTTAGCAGCATATTTAGATTAACTTATCAAACAATATTGATATTATCATAAATTTGTAGTATTGGCAGTATATTTGGATTTACTTATCAACCAATATTGGTACCATTATGGGCACTGCAATATTGGCAGCATATTTAAATTTATTTATCAATCAATATTGGTACCATCACGGGCACTACAATATTGGCAGCATATTTGAATTTATTTATCAACCAATATTAGAATCATCATAGATATTGTAGTATTGGCAGCATATTGAATTTAATTATTAACCAATATTGGTGTCATCATGGGCATTGCAATATTGGCAGTGCGATTACATTTATTTTACAACCAATATTAGTTGTGCATTGGGAAATATTGGCCAAGTTATTACCAATATTGGCCAATATGACTAATGTTTAGCCAATGTACTGCCAATGTATTGTGCTACTAGGGGATCATGCGGTGATGCTATCTAATGAATGTTTTCATCAAGCGAACATCCTCAAAGTAAAAACGATATTGATGAACAATGGTTTTCCTTCGGACATTGTCAATAAGTTTGTAAAAAACAGATTAAAATTACTTAGTACACGAAACAACGATGATTATATTAATAATAACAATAATTTAGGCAGTGCGAAATTTGATCATGTTATTATATAAAATTACCTTATGTCAAAGAACTCAGCGATGATTTGACGAGATTATTACAAACTACGGGTATGCAAAGCGTTTACAGTATACCGAAGAAATTAACTTCTTTAATTAAACGTGTAAAAGACCCTATACCTTTAAAAGAAAAACAGAAGTAGTGTATAGAATTAATTGCGAAAATTGTCCTGCATCATATATAAGTCAAACTAAACGACAATTAGGCACACGTGTAAAGGAACATTTTAATAACATCAAGGTACACAGTAGTAATTTTTCGGTCATTACTAATCATAAAATTGATATGCGACATGATTTCAATTGGTCTTCGCCCGAAATTTTACATCATGAAAAATATGTTAGAAAACGAGAAATAGCGGAGATGTTTTTCATCAAGAAATTTGACAAATAATATTAACTTACAAAAAGATACTGACAATCTAAACAATGTCTACGAAAAATTAATAAAGGTCGTTTAGTCTGATCTAGTATATAAATAGTTCCGTATTGACATATTAATATAGTTAGTTCGTAACACATTATCATGACAGTACATCACGTCATGACCTAAGATCAAACAAGTAGTGTTATTACAATAATGCGGTATTAAGTAGGTTGGTATATTAATATTTAAGCACCTAATTTGTATTAATCTGCAATATTATTAATTTAATGTATAAGACGGGCAACAAGAGCCAAATCGCGGATGACAATGCGTTGTTCTAACGAAACTAAATAATTTTTCGTTAGAATTAAATACCGGTGCACAAGGCACCAAATTTTTACTTGGACACGGCCAAGATTTTAAATATGAAATAATCTCATATTTTGAGATTTAATTTCAATACCCCTTTAACCCCCCTACGGAAAATAAATAAATGAATGCAAGAGAAAAATATAGATCCGAAAATCGCTGAATCGGGAATCGAACCCGAGACCTTTCGCTTGCCGGGCGACTGCTCTTCCAGCTGAGCTATTCAGATCCTTTCGATTCTATACTTTTCTCTGTTATATATATTAATGTTGGTAAACAAACGCATTTTTTAAGCCAGCGTGTATCAAATATAAGAGTTTTAACAAGGCTCTGTAATATAAATATAAATTTAACGTATAAGACGGGCAACAAGAGCCAAATCGCGGATGACAATGCGTTGTTCTAACGAAACTAAATAATTTTTCGTTAGAATTAAATACCGGTGCACAAGGCACCAAATTTTTACTTGGACACGGCCAAGATTTTAAATATGAAATAATCTCATATTTTGAGATTTAATTTCAATACCCCTTTAACCCCCCTACGGAAAATAAATAAATGAATGCAAGAGAAAAATCGAAAGGATCTGAATAGCTCAGCTGGAAGAGCAGTCGCCCGGCAAGCGAAAGGTCTCGGGTTCGATTCCCGATTCAGCGATTTTCGGATCTATATTTTTCTCTTGCATTCATTTATTTATTTTCCGTAGGGGGGTTAAAGGGGTATTGAAATTAAATCTCAAAATATGAGATTATTTCATATTTAAAATCTTGGCCGTGTCCAAGTAAAATTTGGTGCCTTGTGCACCGGTATTTAATTCTAACGAAAAATTATTTAGTTTCGTTAGAACAACGCATTGTCATCCGCGATTTGGCTCTTGTTGCCCGTCTTATACGTTAAATTTATATTTATATTACAGAGCCTTGTTAAAACTCTTATATTATTAATTTAATTATATATCAATTGTTGATAGCACTTGATAAGGGTCGAAACCCATGGCCGAAACGTCGTAAAGTTTAATAAATAGTATTTTTAGCCAGATATGGTTGACGAAATTATTACCATTTTTAATTATTGACTGATGACTTCTTAGTTCTTTATATATATAAGCAAATAATTAAGTTAAGTGTTTTTAAACCACAATTTATACTTCATTCTTCTTGACCAATAGAGCCAAACGCGATGTTATTGCGACAATTAAGAAAGAAAGAAAATTTGGAAACGTGGTTAAGTGTTTTTAATTAAAATTTTTTTATTTTTTTATTTGTATTTAATTTTTGCATAAATTTTTAATTTCTTATTAATTTTTAATTTTGTTTTTCTTTGTTATTTATCATCCTTTTATATTATGACTCTACATAGGTTTGCAACTTCCATCATGAAGGAAAATCCATAATTATATTATATGTATGATGGTATGCTACATGGGGGTTTGCAACTTTAATTTTTTAAAACCAAATTAGAAAGGAATCGATTGACCAACACCGGCAAAGTTAAAAATCTTTTATTAAAAAAGAAACGACGTTTCGACCACAAATTGGGTCCTCTTCAGACTACAAAAATTACGTTATAAATTTCAGTAATACAATACAAGCAATAAAATTATCAGTAAATAATCGATGCAAAAAACCAAAAATATAATAGGATGTACATAAATACCTGTTAAATTAAAATACATATTGAAATAACCAAATCAGGTAACTGTCAGTTGTAACCAAGCAAAAAAGATAGACTTGAAAGTAAAGATAAGAACCGAAAGTTCACTTTGACATGTAAATTTACACTAAACAAAACCATCAACAATCTCTCGCAAATAAGCCTGATTATAACATATAGAAAAATGAAAGTCATCTAATAAATTATAATACAATAACAATATATAAACAACAAGGTCTTATAAATAATTTTATGAAAGGTTAAAACAATTAATACATTAAATCTAATAAAGTATAGACAAAATAAATAAAATTAATAAAATAAAAACGAAGAAGACATAAATCAATAAAAGTACAATTATTTAAAACAAATCAAGAATAATATCGTACATGTCATTTAAATTATCAGTGTCCCTTTGCGAATTAATAGTATTTCTCTGTTTTTTAATGAAAATCATCTCGCTTATCTTTCTCTTTTTTACATGTGCCTCGTTATGTAAAATGGACACATTAGACCAGTCAAATTCGTGTTCAAAAAGAGTTCTGTGTTTACTGATAACCGAATGACAAGTAACATGTTTTTTAATATCAGAGTTATGCTTCCTTATTCGAGTTTCTAAATGACGTTTGGTTTGCCCAATATAACAAGAATCACAATCAATACAAGAAATCCTATACACAACATTTATTCTTTTACTGATAGGAAGTTTATCCTTTTTTTTATAATTATTTTGTCTAATTTATTATTAACAGTAAACAAGACTCTCAGCCCTCCCCTATTTAATGTTTTTTGCACATTTTCACTCAAGCCTTTAACGTAAGGAAAACAGACCCTGTTGGAAGTGATATAGGAAGTCCTTCCTTCCAGTGGATAATTATCCAACGATTTCAAATGTAGCTGATGTAATCTTTTGCTAATAATTGAGTTAATTAGACTCAATAGATAACAATTGTTCACAAGAATTTGTTTCACTAAGAATATATTTTGAGGATGGAATCTACTGTCAGACAATATAATGGACCTATCTGTGAGACTGAGAATGGTACTAATTTTGTATTTGTACGGATGACTAGAATGAAAATTTATGTATTGTCCCGAAAAGGTGGGTTTTCGGTACCAGTTAGTAATTAGTCCTTGATTTTCCCTTATAATAGACGTGTCAAGAAAGCCAATGCA